TGCAGGCTCCCACCCTGGGGGTTTTTAAGAGGAGGTTGGATGACCACCTTACTGGGGTCATTTGACCCCAGTGCTCTTCCTGCCATGGCAGGGGGTCGGACTAGATGGTCTGCTCAGGTCCCATAAACCCTATACCCACCCCTCCACTGTTTCCTACCCCACCTCCTACAAAATCCACATCCCCCCAACATCTTACACCCTGCGTGCCGAGGTTCCAGACAGGATGGGACCTGCTGGTAGGAGCTGTGGCTTCAGGGGCAGTTGTCCCCACATCCTGGTTAATGAAGGGGTCAGGGGGAGCTCTAATTTTTCTATGATAAAAAACCCAAAAGCAAACACCAAAGCATATAGGTATTTAGAATGTATTTTATTATGATAATAGAGGCACTGGTAGGATTCCATATTGCTTTAAAATTGTAAATATATCAATAAAACATTGCCCAAATGATCTCTCTCTCTCTCTCTTTCTCTCTCTCTCTATATATAGTGGTGTTTCACTGTAATCGTGGAAGAACACAGATTTTGGAGTATTTTAAAGAGTGAATTTGGGATTTTTATCAGAGAATTTGCAATTTTTAAACAGGGAAGTTTTGCAATTTTTAAACAGGGAACATCAGGATTGCTGCTAGTAAGGCAAGTGGCAGGGCCAAGGCAGAGATGCCCAGGTTGGCACCAGGGACCCACCTTGAGGGTAAACAAGGTAGCTGACCATTTGGATCCAGGAGGTCATGCTTTGACAGTTCAAAGTGGGTCACCACAATGAGCACATCTCCCAGGCCATAGCTGCCCAAATGACAAGCCAGGGGCGCACATGGCAGCAATGCCACATGAAAGCCAACTGTGCAGCCACAGCCCCCTGGCAGCTGGCTGAGAGGTGCAGATGGCCCTGCTGCATTGTCCATGCCACAGCCCAGGTGGCCATGTGGTCCCCATCCAGGTCTGACAGGTGTGCAGATATGGGGCCGCGGGTCCAAGAAGGCGGGTGCTGTCACAGGTGGCAGCAGGTCACAGCCAGGCGGCAGCCCCAACTGCCAGACTGCTGCAGTGGGTAGAGGGTGCAGAGGCCACTCTAGTTTAGGGCTGCTTCAGCAGTCCAGGTGGCAGAGGGGGCTCGTGTCCCCAGATACCAACTAGCTGAGCCTCAGAAGCTCCTGAGAGCAAGTAGCCCTGAACTGCTCAACAGAGCAACATTTTATACTGCTGGGGCCAGCACCTGTGCTGGCCCCAGCCTTCAGCTCCCCCTGGATGCAGATCCAGGCAGAGCTGGGCAGGGTCAGCATGTCCCAAGTGGCATAGTTTGTCCCATACCAATGTGCATGTTCAGGCATGTCTGCTGAGGTACAAATATCCTGCACAAATTTGAGCTGCTGCAAGCGCACATGCCTGAATGTGTGGATGCACCCATTGTGGCTCTGTGAAGATACAGAGGGCAGCTTAAAGTCTTTAACCAGAATATCAAGCCAAGAGGCTGAAGAAGGAGGTAGATCCAAGATGCAGCACTGAGTTTAGTGGTCAAAGATTGTCAACCAGGACCTTAAGGCAAAGGTCAGAAGTAAGAGACGGGAGCTAGAGACAGCCAAGGTCAGGAGCCAAGACTCGGGATTCAAGACTTAAGATCCAGGAATTAGGAAGCACAGACCGAGGATCAGGGATCAGAAAGGAGATCTGCATGGGTCAGGAACTCCAGACTGAAAGCCCCATGTGTTATGCAGCAAAGATCAGTAAAAATGCTAGGGGTAGTCTTTAATTAAGGACAGGTAGCTTGTTTAACTGGGGACTAAAGACCTGACCATTTACAAGTTGAAGTCTATGTAGGACTTGGTGCAAAGCTCTGAGTGTTCAGAACTTTGAGAACCTTACCAAATTTGTTGTGGGAGATTCACGGAGTCTTAGCAAGAGTGGTAGCAGCCTCTTATGGCTATAGAGTTTCATAATTTCATAGTTAGTAGGGTGGGAAGGGACCCGAGCAGATCATCAAGTCCAACCCCCCTGCCATGGCAGGAAAGAGTACTGGGGTCAAACAACCCCAGCAAGGTGATTGTCAAGCCTTGTCTTAAAGACCCCCAGGGTAGGAGCCAGCACCACTTTGCTTGGAAGTTGGTTCCAGATCCTAGCTGCCCTAA